GGAGTTGAGCGATTGGCCATCTGATTAATGACTCGAACGGATAGAAGACGTGTGACTTTGCCAAGGACCCTGCACCGTCCTGTGGTATGCACCCACCCAATGAAAGTAATGTTCCAAAAATGAAAAAAAGTACAAAATGAATATGTCTCCATTTCGGCTTCTTCCGACTGAAAATGAAAAGTGTTTTTGAAATGATAAATAAATAGTTTAAATTTTGCAGATTGGATCGGACACTTGCGCGGAATACCAGCAGAAAGGAGTTTGTGAGCCTACTAATAAGCGCTTTAAAAGGGGGGGTTGGAAGCGATGTCGCTGAAGACGGATACACGGCAGTTTGGTCGTTCCAAGTGACAAAGCCGATCGTGCACTCTACAGGGACGATGAATTGCACATATAATAGTTTTCAGTGATAGTGGCGTTGCACAAGGACTCGCCTTCCTCATCCACAATGCCTCGGGCTTAGACGCAATGGCTGATAATGCTAAACTGCCTGTATACGTGTGCCAGGCACGGTCGAGTGGACGAGAACAGGTGACTTGCGAGGAATCTACCGCACTCGCTCCTCCTTAAACTACCAAAGTACGTTGGCGGAACAAAGGCAGAGTGACCAAAGGCGGACAAAGCTTTACAGTCCGCCTATGTATTCCAATGCACGATCTGGTCTATGATGCAGATGCCAGGCTTCAATGAGCTGCTCAGATATCTTTTTTGCGATTGTGTCCTAAAGTACACATTAAGAGGAAGCCACTGCAGCATGACTCTCGTTAGTGAAAAATACGGAACTTGGTAGTTTTCCAAATCCTGATGCTTAATAAAGCGAAATAGACAAGAAACGGGTACGATCGCTGGGACAAGGACTTTATTCGCGCCGACGTTTCAAATTCCATCGCAGATCCAGAATCAGAGACAATGGCAGAACGAGTAATTAATACCCCATGATTTAGAATATTTATAGGATATAGTCGTCTTGCTGCTGCATACCTATGACCGTTAATCACTTCCCCCTATCTGGGACAGTTTGCTGTTTGTGCACTGACTGCTTGATAGCAGCCATGCGGGTCGTACTCTGCTGAACTTTCATCAGCGGTGCTGGACTTGAGAGTAATGATTGCTAGACCATCTGGCTCTCTGGTATTGGTGCTTACAGACGCGTTCGCCTATATTGGCAAGCTTCAAGCGCGTCAGATCCATTTAAGTGCGGACTATACTGATGTAATGTCCAATGCCGTTTCTCTCCATTTGGCTTTCCGAACCTGCTGTAACAAACCAAATTCCGGCAGAGATGTTTGAATGTGCCAAGGACATTTATCGCACAGGTTCCGAATGAGGATGGTCTAATAGACGTTGTAACTTACCATG